TTGTTTTGGCAGGGTCTTTCAGTGGCTCTGGCTGTCAGGGCCAGGAACTCGAGAGTCATCTGTCCCTGCCACCTCTGCACTGAGATTACAAGTGTGTGCTGCCAAGCCCTACTTTTTCATGAAGGTGCTAGGGATCTGAACTCAGGTCACCATGTTTTTGTGGTAAGCACTTTATCAACGTCACCATTTCTTCAGCCCCTCCAAGCAATTTCTTATGCACCCGGTCATGACCTTACCTTAAAAAGTGGCATAGATTTACTCATGGAAGCAGGATGTGTATAGCCCAGGCTGATCTTGAACTTGCTATGATCTTAAATTTCCGATTTTCCTGCCTCCACCTCCTAAGTGCTGCAATTCCAGGCATGTGTCACCATGCCACTTACATAGTGCTGGGGACATAGAACTTAGGACTTTGAACCCACCAGGCAAGCACTCTACCAACCCAACTTAATCCCCAGCCAAAAAGTAGCCTACATTCATGAGATGCTCCATAGCTTTGTGCCTCCTTCCATCTCTGTGTGGCAGGGAGCTGCTTCAGTTTGTAAAAGACAAATCTGCGCCAAGAGTGCAACTGGAGGGCTGGAGAGATGGCTCAGAGGTTAAGAGCACTGACTGCTCTTCCAGAGGACCTGAGTTCAATTCTCAGCACCACATGGTGACTCACAACCATCTGTTATGAGATCTGGTGCCGTCTTCTGGTGTGCAGATACACACGGAAGCAGAATGTTGTATAAATAATAAATAAATAAAACCTTAAAAAAATAAAAAAAAAAGAGTGCAACTGCAAATTATTTCCTGTTGCTTTTACCTTAGAGGATGGAAGATAGCATACCTTGGCAATCCTGGATCTCCACAAACTTCATCTCTACAGACACTGGTCTTTGGGGGGTGGCTACAGGGTTTAAAATTTGGGCAAGTGTAATAGGAGAAGACATATTGTAAACTTATTATTTAATGAAAACATCAAACTTATAAAACTTCATGTACACATGCTCTCTCTCTCTCTCTCTCTCTCTCTCTCTCTCTGAGAAGTTGGGGGGTGTGGTTTAGTAACAAACCACTTACCCAGCATGCACAATTCCCAGCACCACAAAAAAAAAAGAAACAACCATCCATTATGAGATCTGGTGCCCTCTTCTGGAGTGCAGATATACATGGAAGCAGAATGTTGTATACATAATAAATATATAAAATCTAAAAAAAAAAGAAAAGTGTTGAGCATTTGCCCAGTGACAAAATGAATGTTTAAAAACCAGCTAGTGTATCTGGCCATGGTAGAGTACACCATTAATTGTAGCAGTTAGGAAAAGGAGGTAGGATGATTATGTACTCACTGTAGCACGAAAAATAAAAGACCCAGAGACAGATATTGGGATTCAAGCTTCAAGCTGAAGGTCAGAAAAGCAAAGAAGCCAGCCACTAGCTCTTACCCCTACCTCAGCTCAGACCAAAGGGGCAATCCTCAAACTGCTCCTGACTTCACTGCTCCTCAGATTCACTCAGACTTCTATGCTCTCCTCAATATGGCTAGAGACTAATCCTGATACTTACTGAAGACCCTGATCCTATCTTTTATACCTCTCTAATGCTGGGATTAAAGGTGCGAGCTCTGTTACTTTTAGACTGATTCAATCTCTTGTAGCCCTGGGTGGCCTTGAACTCAGAGAGATCCATCTGCCTTTGTCTCCTGAGTCCTGGGATTAGCGGTGTGTACCACCACTGCCTGATCTCTATAGCCTAAGGCTGACTTTGCTTTCTGAATCCCCAGGCAAACTTTAATAAATCATAAATAATATATCACTATAAACAAAATAGCTTTCTAAAATTTAGACTGAAAAGGTAGCAACCTTGCCTGTGGTGACTAGACCATAGAGAGTGAGGTGATGCTCTTGGGTCTTCGGCTTGAGTTGTGGCTCATAATGTAGTGTTTTTCTTTTTTTCAGCTTGCTTCCAGATATGAGTTTATCTTTTGTTTTTTGATACAGGGTCTGGCTGGCCTAAAACTCACTATGTAGACTAGGCTGGCTTCAAACTCAAAAGATCTTCCTGCCCACGGCTCCTGAGTGCCGAGATTAAAGACATGTGCTACCATACCTGGCTAGAATATGAGTGGAGACAGGGTCTTGTGTGACCCAGGCTAGACTTGAATTTGTGATCTCCTGCTGTAGCCTTATATTCTGAACATTTCTTGGTGGGTGGCATCATTTATATCCCAGCCTAGTTACTGTCGTCTCTGGATAGTGGTGTCTTAAATTGTGTAGTGCAAAACCTGGGCAGCCTGCTATCAAAATTTTAATTATTGTCAAGTTTGGTGGCACATTTGCAACCCTAACATTTGGGAGACAAAGACAGAATTGTTTTAAACTCAAGGTCAGTCTGGGCTACATATCAATGTCTCAAAAGCAAATGACAAAAAACTCAAGCCCAAACTTAATTGCTTTTGTTACCTTTGAGCCTTGAAGTTCAAAGTCCCAGGACAACAGAAGTGCACCACCATGCTTGGTGCTAGGATGATATCTCACCCAGCAGGGTGGCAGAATATTATTTTAAGGTGTGTGACTTTTGTTTATGCTACATTTGTTTAACTCAGTGAAGCTGTGGTTCTTTGTGTGTCGAAAACACCCGATGATCCTAATAAAAGAGCTGAATGGCCAATTGTGAGGCAGGAGAAAGGCTAGACAGGACTGGCAGGTAGAGAGTTAAAATAGGAGCAGAGCATTTGGGAGGCAGAGGCAGGCTGATCTCTCAGTCCAAGGCCAGCCTGGTCTACAGAACAAGTGCCAGGACAGGCTCCAAAGCTATACAGAGAAACACTGTCTTGAAAAACAAAACAAAACAAAAATAGGAGGAGCAATGAGAGAACAAGGAGAGGGGGATACCAGGGGCCACCACCCAGCCAGCCATGGAGTAAGGAATGTAAGGCACACAGAAATCAAGTTAAAAGCCCAGAGGCAAAAAGTAGATGGGAAATTTAAGTTTAAAAAAGCTGGCTAGAAACAAGCCAAGCTAAGGCTGGGCGTTTATAAATAAGAATACGACTTTGTGAGTGAATTATTTGGAGCTGGGTATCGCTCCCTCCCCCCCCACAAAAGAGTAAAATATATCATACTATAACAATCACTACAGCAGGGTGTGGATATCCTCCCTCAAATGAGAGCTCTGTTGCCTTGGAAAGCAGTCAGACATGTAAAGTGAGAGTTAAGAAGCCCAGGAATGGTCTATGAGGCAGTCCTAACAGTAGACACCTCAGCTTCCATCTGCTACAGCAGCCAGGGCATACTACAAGTTCCGTTAAGTCTCAGGTGGGTAAACATCCCATCTCACTGTTTCAAGCATGCAGTCGGTGCTGAGACTTTCACTAGAAGACAGACGGGTGCGTAGTCTTGTCCACACATGGTTCTATTTATCATCTCACTAGCACTGACTTACCCCACTCAAAAATTTCCACCAGACTAAAACAACAAAAAAATTTATTTGTGAGGAAGGAAATTTCTTAAATACCCACTTAGCCTTTGTTTACACTGTTCCATTGTTTTTTCTATGATGTAATGTGTTCAGTGCATAGCCTCTGCTGTCTATTTGCATGGACTTGCCATTAACACATCTCCCAGGCCTTTGTAGTGTGGGGATGGAACTCAGGGCCTTTCACTGGGCTAGAATCCCAGCCCGCAACTGTCCTTCAGTCAGAGGATACCAGGACCTGAGTTTACGGTGGCTCAGTGTAGATGTTCTGGAGTGTTGCTTCCTGTACAAAGTGCAGCCTGTAATCCCTGAAACAGTGTGATGGTGTGCTGGACTCAGTGCACAGAGAACAAGGGGCAGCTACTAGCTCAATATGAATTTATCTGTAATCCAACAGAGCAAAAGCAAAGACAATCCCATTTCTGCAGACCTTAAAAAAAAAAAAGAAAAAAAAAAAGAAAAAGAAAAAGGCCTGTTTGCTGCCCATCCCATCTACCTAGTGGGAACAAAAGAAAGCCTGGTGGACTGCCTGATGGGTCCCCTCCACTGACTGTCGGATATCAATTCTATCTCTCACTGATTAGATGGGAAGTGGAGGGCCAGGGCTCTCTGTGCCAGCCAGGTATCTCTCATGGATACATACTTAGCTTCATGACACTGTTTAATCCTTTGGGTTGTGGTAGTTCCTTTCTTCCTTGTCTGTAGTTACCTGTGCATTTATTTAGCATGTGTGAATTGGTGTATAAGCATGTTTGTGTGGTACATGTGCACATGTGTGGAGGACAGAGGTCAACTGAAGTCATGTACCTTGTTGCTTTGACAGAGTGTCCTTCTCAGAGACCCTGGGCTCACAGATGAGGTTAAACAGGCTGGCCAGCAAGCTCCAGGAGTCCTCTCAGCTCTGAGTCTGCAGTGCTGGGATTACAAACCACCACCATGCCTGGTTTTTAAATGTGGATTTCCAGGATCAAACCTGATCTGTCTTCGTGTTTGTGTGGTAAGAGCTTTGTGGACTAAGATCATTTTAGCCCAGTTTTCAATTTTTAAAAATATCCCAGGTCCATGTTGTAGCATGACTCTGTAATGACCCCTGTCTTTGATAGCATAGAGACAACATCACCCAGATCCTGGGTTCCCAGTACAGGTCACAAAACACAGGTCCTGGGTGCCCAGTATAGACCACAAAGCACACATCATGGGTGCCCAGTATAGGCCACAAATCACAAACAGGTGTTCCTTTTGACACTTAGCTGCTAAAGGGCTCTGAAATGTTTATACTTGTAGTGACATTTAGAAGCTATACCTTACGGTGTCATTTCAGACACAATGGCAGGTCAGCCTGAGACTTTTCATGAAGCTTTTACCATAAGTCCTTAGAATGAAGAGTGGGAACAACATGTTTCTCCCTGGAAGCCCTTTTCCTGTTCCTGAGGCTGTCATCATGCACCCAGGGGGTAAGACATTGTAAGTGATCAGGGGGTATCATGGAAAGAAACTCAACACAAACCTCTGTAGAAATGAAGAGTCAGATCTGGGGACAGGGTGGGAGGTAACACACTTTTTTCACAGAGCTGTCACACACAGTGTGACTGTCCTCAGAAGCAGGCAAGGGAAAGCAGACACTCAGCCACAGAAGAAAGCTGGGGTCTTGGCCTGATAGCTTTAATGTCTTTGAATTGGTGGACGGTCAGGCGCCTTTTCCAGAATAGGCCAAGGAAGACAAGTCCAGTTTGGTCTTTAAGGCTGCAGTCAGCTCCCTGGCCAGCAGCTCATGCAGGGACACGCCATCGTGGGAGTACACCCAGTTCTTCCCGGTCCAGTCATAGCGCTTGGGGCCACTGTAAAACAAAATGAATGTGTGTTAAGTCAGTGAGGACCATCTTCAGGAGCACCACTGTGTTTGGGCTAAATCAATCAATCAATCTTTTTCTTTTTGGTTTTTTGAGACAGGGTTTCTCTGTGTAGCCCTGGCTGTCCTGAAACTCACTCTGTAGACTGGGCTGACCTCAAACTCTCAAAGACCAGCCTGCCTCTGCCTCCTGAGTAGTGGGGCTAAAGGTGTGCACCACCACCTGGCTTATCTATCTTTGAAGATAGAGTCTTACTCTGTATCTTAGACCTGGATGCAGGTGGCCTGGACTTTCCTTATATAGCCAAAGCTGGCCTTCAACTTGTAGCAATTCTCCTGTCTCCTAAGTGTTGGGATTAGAGCAACCACATTTTGTTGCGGATATTTGATCACAGTGTGAAAGGCACATTCTGAATGGCTTAATAAAGAGCTGAATGGCCAATAGCTAGGTAGAGAGGATAGGTGGGATTTCTGGGCAGGGACAGGAACTCTGGGAAGAAGAGAGATAGGATTTGTCAGCAAGATTGGGAACAAGTCAGATGTACAGTATAGAGGAAAGGTAATGAGTCACATGGTTGAAGGTAGATTAATATAAATAGTTTAACAAGATTGGGAACAAGTCAGATGTACAGTATAGAGGAAAGGTAATGAGTCCTTTGGTTGAAGGTAGATTAATATAAATAGTTTAAGTTATAAGAGTTAGTTGGGGACACGCCTAAGCTTTCATATTTAATAAGAAGTCTCCATGTCATTATTTGGGAGCTGGTGGTCCAAAGAAAGTCCAGCTACATTTGGCTAGAGTGGATCTTAAATATCCCACTGGGACCCATGATTAAAAGCTTAGTGGCCAGCTTATGACTCTATTGGAGGTGGTGGGAACATTATAGGGTAGGGCCTAGCGGTGGCTTGCTAAGTCACCAGCAGAGTGATTGGGAGCCTGTCCTGTTTCCCTCTGCTTCCAGCTACCAGGGAGTCAACTTCCTTCCACCATACACCCCCTGCCATGTTCTGTTTCACCACAGGCTCAAAGGCAATAGGAACTAAAGTGTCTGATGCCGTGAGCCCAAACAAATGCTCCCTCTTTTCATTGGAGAACTAACAGAACCTCAGAACTGCCTGCCACGCAGAGACTGACCAACTGCAGTTTTACAGTGGCATGCAGTGAAGTACACTTCTGATTCCCCTGGTCAGTGTCTTCCTAAGGGCAATTGTGAGTTCAAGAACAGCCTGATCTACAGAGCGAGTTCCAGAACAGCCAGGGATACACACAGAAACCCTGTCTTAAATCCCCAACCCCCAAAGAGACAAAAACAAAAACACAAAAATAAAACCAGAGGAAACCAAAGAACATAAGTATGTCCTTTGTTCCAGGTGTCCCCATAGCTCTCTTCTCTACCCATCCTATGATCCTACGGCAAGGCAGCCAGGAAATACTACTATCTCCACAGGACCTCAAAAGTCACCTTCTGAAATAAATGATAACCATGGCCCTGTGAAAGATATTCTGGATAAATATGAAATTACTTTTGGGGGGCTGGAGAGCTGGCTCAATGGTTCAGGACACTCACTGCTCTTCCAGAGGGCTGGTTTGACTTCTCGTGCCAATCTGGGCTGCTGACAACTGCTGTGACTTCAGCTCCAGGGGACCCGACTCCCTCTTCTGGCTGCTGTGGGCACGGGCACTCACTCACACTTACACCCATAGACACATAAGGAAAAATTACCACCCCGCCACCCCACCATGAAAGCAACACAGCACACGTGATGAAGGGAGACTTAGGAGACTTCCCTCCAAGTCCCTCACATAAATGGCAGGTTTTAAAGAGTTTGTTTGGAGTCTCTGTAAGCGGTTAATTTCCCCATGGTGTATGTGAGCTGCCTGATATGGGTGCCAGGATCCAAATTCTTGTTCTCATGCTACAGCAGCAAGTGCTCTTAACCACTGAGTCACCTCTTCAGGCTCTCAATATAGTTTTTGTTTGCTTGTACATTTGTTGCAGTGCTGGGAATCCAACCCAGAGCCTTCTCTCACCTTTTAGGCAAGTTCTTTGCCATTAAGCCATACTCTGGCACTTTTTAATTTTTTTAAACTGTCAATGCCATTAGGCTTTCAAAGAATTCCACACTGGTTTCTAGCTGAGCTTTTCCCACTTCTTCAAAATGCCTTCTCTGGTGGCACTGCTGAGTCTCAGCAAGGTTAGTGTGAAGGTTCTGTGTAAACATCTCTGTGTGAGCATCTCTGTGAGAGCATCTCTGTGTGAGCTTCTCTGTGTAAACATCTTTGTGTGAGCATCTGCTGTGTGACCATCTCTGTATGAGCATCTGCTATGGGACCATCTCTGTGTGAGCATCTCTGTGTGCACAATCTGTGTGAGCATCTCTGTGTGAGAATCTTTGTGTGAGCATCTCTGTGTGAGAATCTATGTATGAGCATCTCTGTGTGAATGTCTCTGCGTGAGCATCTCTCAGCCGTTTCCAGACCACTGCCGCAGCTCACTGTATGCTCGCTCACTAGGAGCATCTCTCAGCCGTTTCCAGACCACTGCCGCAGCTCACTGTATGCTCACTACTAAGTTCTTAGTTCTGAGACCCACGCTGCCTGCAGTGCACCCTGATGTTCCTTCAACTGCAGGCACATCCACGGGGCAGGCAGGAAGATGGGGGCCCTGAAGCTGCTGCTAAAAATCACTGTCCCACTGCCACAGAGTCTGAGCCCAACTCTGCCAATGGAATTACTGAGACCTTCAAAACAGGCTGGAAGTTAAAGTTTAACTCACTTTGAGGACAAAGTACAGGTTTCTCAGATGCTACAATATAAAAAGTTCCTCCCTTTTTACCCTCCTTCCTTTCCATTTTGGGAATTGAATCCCGGGCTTATAGATAGCCAGACAGGCATTCTATTACTAAGGTGTACACCCCAGACTTAAAGTAGCTTTTTAATTAATTATTTTATTTGCTTATTTATTTACTTATTTATTTATTACCCCAGCTTTGTGCCGCCATACATAACAAAAGTAGCTTATGTATCACCCTGGCTGGCTTGGAACTCACTATATAGACCAGGTTGGCCTATTTGTTTTTGTGACAGAGTCTTACATGATAGTCCAGTCTAGCCTTTGAACTGGTTATGTTGTAAAGCTGGCACTGTGAGTTACTGCCTCTGCCTCCTGAGTACTGAACTATAGATAAGTAACAGTAGGCCCAGCAAAGTATCTTTTTCAAAGGCAAGTCAGTGATTTTTCTTTTCTGGGCAATGACAAAACAGAGAAAGAGAATCTGGGCCAGATTCTGAAAACTTCCCTTTGCTTCAGGTCTTGTCAACATCCTGATGCCTGAGGATAGGAACCAAGTTATTGATGGGGAGAAACATTCACCTGGAAGCGAGCCTTCCTGTGGAGGCAGACAACTGTAAAACCATGGCAAAGCCAGTGACAGACACCCTCTCAAGTGGTCCCCAATTGGTCAGAAGAGTTCACTCCTTACAGATTTTGACTTCTGAACATACCTGCAGGGAGAAGATAACCAGATTTGCTTGTTCGGGGTCTGTTTATTGATCACGTAGGTCCCTAGATCCCCTCCCAGTTTAATGGTTAGAACGCCGCCCTAGGGGTCAGGTGGAAGAAAATGTGAAGAAAACAAACAAGATTAGTTAGCACAAGAACAAATATATATGCAAATAATTATTCTGATCTCAATGCCTTTCATGTATCCAAGGATATAATACACATCATAAAAAAAGGGTTCTGGGGATGCAGTGCACTGGCCATATGTGTTCAGGAGCTGGGAAGCCCCCTGTTCAATTCTTGACACCAAAACCAAACAAAAATTAGTGTTCAAAACTAGGAATGTGTGTGGTAAAGATATTATCATCAGGATCAGAGTGGGGTAGAGACTTGTTTTACTTTTACTTATAGACATAAGTTGCTTCCATTCATCCATATGTGCATAAGTTATCTTGGAGATCAAAGACACACAGGACCCCTGCAGCTGGAGTTATAGGTGTCTGTGAGCCACCTGATGTGATGTGGGTACTGGGATCCAAACTCTGGTTCTCATGATAGAGTAGCAAGCTCTCAGCCACTGAGACATCTCGGCAGTCATCACAGTGGGCTAGGAATAATGCCTGAAGCTCATGAAGGGACCAGCTCCCCATTTCGGCAGCCATAACAGCCAAACACGTGCTTGTCTGACCTTGCCTTGGTCACTAGGAGGTTAGGTTCCTGCCTTGTGGCAAGGAACCAATCAGAAGTTAGCTGGTGGTGCTATGCTTTATGGCTCTGGGTGTGCTTTTCGGACAAGTGCACAGCAATGACATGCAGAGCATAGCAACCACCCTGGGAGGGCCTATGGGCCATAACAACTAGTTGACCAATCAACACAGGACAAACCCTCCAAGCCTGGAGCCACACCAATCCTGAGCCTGCGTGTACCCCTAGACACTCCCCTTACGCTGCCCTATAAGATCTCTATGCAGACGCTTCGACCTGTCTTTTCTAGCCATCTGCTATGGCGGGTGGATGAAAGACCCAAGCTACCATGGGGTTAGCTCGTTAAACAACTATAATAAAGCCTCATGCAGTTTGCATCAAGCTTTTGACTCCGCCTGGTGATTGGGGTGACCATGGTCCTGGGCTGAGATCCTAGAGCTTACGGGGGTCTTACACTCACACTGATTTCTCTCTGCCTGTGTGGTCAGCAAGAGAAGAAAGGTCAAGACTTGCCTGAGAGCTCTGCAATAGTAAACCCGACCGCTAGCTTTCTGCCCTCCACTGCCAATCAGGACACGTACAAATGCAGAATAAACTTCAGACCTGACAAGTCCATAAGAAAGCAGGTGTGGTGGCAAGAATCTGTAATGTCCAGGACAACCTCCAGAGCAGTACAGAGAAACCAACCAACCAACCAACCAACAAACAAACAAAAAAAACAAAACAAAAAAGAATCTATTGTCAGTGCTTGGGAACCTAAGGGGAGATTGTGAGCTTGAGGCCAGCAGGCTGCACACCGAAATGCAAAACAGAAAAAGATGAGAGAAGAAAAAAAGTAACCAAAGCTCAGCCTTGTTTGTCTTAGAAGAGCAGGTGGGGCAGCCCCCGTCCACCTATGTTATCCAGACACTCCCCAGGCATCTAACAAGTGATTAGAGACTCCAAAAGTCTTCATTTCCACCTAAAAAGCCTTGCATTCTCACAAGACTGGCCAGTCCATTTTTGTTCAATAAATGAACATTTAAATTTGCAAACACTCAACAAAGGAGACCTCCACTCTCTGTGGCCTTAGACACTTTAGAATGGGCCGGCTATGAAACAAACATTCCCTGTACCATGGCTACTGGTAAGCAGGTGGGAGCCTAGTGCAACAATGCTTGCTCCTCGCTCTGCAGAGTGTGGGTCCAATCAGGAGTCTTGACACGATTTTCATAGCACACCCTCACAAACACAGCCAGCCATTTAAATAAATGCTAAGGGACCAATAATAATAAAACCAATAGGCATGAAGGGGGGCACTAGTGGTTTCTCTTTCTCTCTCTGAGATGGGCTTTCACTAGGTAGCCAAGGCAGACAACAAACTTATAATATTTGGGCCCCAAGTCTCCCAAGTGCCAGGATCACAGGCATGTGCCACTATGCCCAGTTTGTTTCCTCCTCCTCCTTCTTTTAAAATAACATGTGCTCCCCCCCATTAAAACAAAAATAACAAAAAACAAATAGAAAAAGAAATAGGGACTGAAGCTGTTGCTCATTTGGGAGAGTGCTTGGCTATGACACACAAAGCTCTGGGTTCCATCCCAAGGTGCATCAGGTTTTGTAATCCCAGGTCTCAGGTGGTAGAAGGTCAGAAGTTCAAGGTCACCCTTGGCTACACTCCAGTTTGACGCCAGCCTGGGCAAAATGAAGCCCTATCTAAAAAACACCAAGCTAGGGGCTGGAGAGATGGCTCAGAGGTTAAGAGCACTGACTGCTCTTCCAGAGGTCCTGAGTTCAATTCCCAGCAACCACATGGTGGCACAGAGGTTCCTGTTAGAGAAGACAAAGATGCAGGAATAAAAACACAGCAAGTAGGCACACTGATTCCTCTTTACTTAGAGCGGAGGGTGTGCCAGGATCTGTGTTTGGACACACATGGGAACTGTTTCTAACTAGCTGTGGAGGTAGGAATCACTATCTCAATTTTATAGAAGAGGTCCAGGGTGGCAAAAACACAAAACAAATTATTAGCAACCAGCAGAGTTGATTTGAAATGCAAGGCTGCTTGGACTCAAACATACTGTTTTTCCTATCCTAGGCAACCCCCTCACCCTCCTGAACCTTCCTTCTTGGCTGCTAGTTTATGTATTTTCTCTCTTTTATCTTGGAAAATTGCCTATAACTAAGTCACACAGTACAGCAGTACTGAGTATATTCACACTGTTACTCTAGAGCCATTCAGAAATCTGTGCACCTGGCAAAACTGAAACACTGTACACATTCAATGTTAATGTGCCCCCCCCTCCAGTGTTGTGCACATGGGATGCTAATTCCCCCTATCTCAGCAGTCCCTAGGCACCAGGCTCTTCATCCAAGTCTATGGTTTCATGCTCCCCCTTGGAACCAACAGACTCAGTGGAACTACAAGCTCACCTCTGACTTACATACGTATCCGTGGTTGATAAATGTCCCCCTATGTTTTCTGCCCCACACGCTGAGGCTTGGCGCTCCAGCACAAATGCTAAGGGCTGACTAACTCTCCAGATGTGACTTCCAAGTCCACTCTCCTTCCTAACCAGCCCGGGCCCTGCAGAAGTCCTGTCTCTCTGGTGAGGCTCTCAACATCTGGCTTGCCTCCTCAAGAAATCTGCTTAAGGACTCCACATCTGCACCTGGCTACTATACAATGAGTGACCACACCAGGGACGGCCCACTTAACCAGGGCATCCTCCATTTACTCTTTCTGATCCTCAATCTTTGGAGGGATCCCGGAGAGCATATTAATTAAACATATATGGAGAGATGGCTCAGAGGTTAAGAGCACTGACTGCTCTTCCAGAGGTCCTGAGTTCAATTCCCAGCAACCACATGGTGGATCACAACCATCCGTTATGAGATCTGGTGCCCTCTTCTGGTGTGCAGATATACATGGAAGCAGAGTGTTGTATACATAATAAATAAATAAAATCTTAAAAAAATTAAACAGATATGTGCTCCCAAGACAAAAGAAGCGAAAACCAGCCACGGGAGACCCAGCTCCACAGTGCTATAGCTGTCCTCTGGCGTCTTCCCTGTAGGCCCCTCTTGCTCCAGGACCCATGCAGGTGTCTCTGAGGAGGTTTTCTGGGGCTTTCCACTTGGCACAGCCATGTGGCCTCTCCTGGTTTGAACTATTTAGCACGACTTGTGTGTGAAGGAGCTTGTTGTCCCTGGCTCCCACTTCTACTAGCTCGAGTGCCTAGGAAGAAGCTACTCAGTAGCACCTACAAGCTTCCACCCAAACCCAGGATGGATGTAAGAGTATTTATTATATTCGTGGAAGAATGGACCGGTGGACAAACAGTGACCAAGGGGAGCCTGTGGAACTAACTGCCAAAGTAAAGGGCACGGTTACCAAAGCAGAAATCACAAAGCTCAGTTCCCTCTCCCAGCCTGGTTACTGTAATCGGAATCTTTCCCCAGCGCTTTCAGCTATTCCAAAGGTCAGTGTCAGGAGGGACTGAACCAGCAGCAGTGCTGGCTTACCAGGGATCTCAAGACATTTAGAACTGTCTGCAAGTAGATTACACAGCAAAGGTTTTCAGCTCTCTACTGCCATTCTTTAGCCAACACTAGTCCATCTGGAAAGAGTGGGCACATTATTCACACTTTCCCTGCTATGACAAATATCTGAGACCACACAAGGCAAGATTTATACTGGCTGTGTTGTTTCCGGTCTGTGGCATGGCACAGCACCAAAGTGGCGGAAGGGTGTGGTGGGGGAGGGGCTCCTCATGGCAGCCAGGAAGCAAAGGGGGAAGAGACATTCCAGGGATAAGGAACATCTTTCAGAACATATCTCCAGGGGGCTGGAGAGAAGGCTCAGAGGTCAATTCCCAGGAACCACATGGTGGCTCACAACCATCTATAATGAGATCTGGTGCCCTCTTCTGACATTCAGGCACATTGCAAATAGAACACTATATACATAATAAATGAATAAATCTTTAAAAACAAGAGTTTTGGGGGGGGCTGGAGAGAGAGAGCATTGCTTAGGAGCACTGACTGCTCTTACATAGGACCTGGGTTCAGTTCCCAGCACCCACATGGCAGCTCACAACTGTCTTTAACTCCAAGACCTGACACCCTCACACAGACACATGTGCAGGCAAAACACCAGTGCACATACAATAAAAAGTAAATAAGTTATTTAAAAGACCATATCTCCAGTGACCCACTTCTTCCGACATCCCACAGTTTCCTCCTTCTCCCATACTCTCCACTGTCCCCGCAACAGTCCACTGAATCATAAATCTATCAGCAAAGCAATTCTTTAGTCAGGTCAGGGGCCTCATGGTTCAATCACCTCTCAGTGACACCACCAGCTGGGAACCTGGCCTTCAACACAAGTCTCTGTGGGAAACAAAATACCGAGCCATTACTATGGCGCACTGACCAATTGGAGGAGACCCTCACACCAACCAACCAATCAGAGCAGAACAAGCCCAGTTGGCCAGGCTTACTGATTCGTGCCAGTGAAGATTAGCCCTGCCCTTGCAGGCGCAAAAACTACACACTGTTGTCACTTGGTCATCTGAAGAAGTAGGCACATGGGAGATGTCATGTTGAGCCAGGGACCTTCATATACGTGTGACTTCTCATTAAGAAATAAAAATAATGAATTTGAAAATCCTTTTTTTTTTTTTTTAAAAAAAATCATTTCTCCTATCATTTAACAACCATCTGCCCTCCATAATCCTATGATTTACTCCAAAACGCACACTTTATGACATTTCCTGGAATTAATTAATTGCTGTCAAGAGGATTAACCTCAGCCTGGATTGGGATGGTGGTGGAGAGGGGATAGGTAAGAAAAGGAGACATTTTTCTCCCAATGGTAAAGGCCCGAGCAGACCTTTGCTTAGTCTGCCCCCTGGTGGCCAGCATGTAAACTTCTCTAGCTTCCATTGGCTGGGTTAATGCCATCCAACTCAGTTCTCAACCATCATGGGGGCCATCTGCAAATCCAGTTCCTTGCCTAGAGCACACTGCACACTAATTCAATCAAAATTCCTAGGGGCTGCGAATCAGAATTCCATGTGAGCCAAGGTGTGCTGGTGCACATGTATTTCCAGTGGATCTCAAGGCCAGCCTGGTCTACACAGCAAGCTCCAGACAGCCAGGTCTACATAGAGAGACCCTGACTCAAACAAAAACAATAAGTAAATTTAAGAAATAATAATACAGATTTAAAAAATAGTCCCCAACAGACATAACCATCTAGCAACATAGATTGTGGTTGGATCTTAAAAGATAGGATTCAAAAAAAAAAAGATAGGATTTATGTGACAGCCCAGCTCTGTCAGTGACTTTGGGCAAGTCACTCTGCCTCTCTGAACCTCTTCTGTTCAGAAACAGATTCCCAGGGGTTGGGTGGGTGTCCCTGGGGTGGGTAGTTAGGGAAAGAGCCCTTCACCCAGCCCTAGTATTAAAGAATAAAAAAATAGATTTCCAGGATCCAACGTGTGGACTACTGCCCAGGAGTGATTCACATTCTACATGTGGTCCCATGCTTGCTCCATTCTACCTTAAACAGCCGATTCTGAGTTTTGGGGGTGGGGTTTTTATTTGTTGTTTATTATTTTGAATGTTTGTGTATGAGGAGTATGTTTCCACTCGCATGGCAGGGTGGGTTCTTAGAATTCAACTGAGCTTATAAGGTTTTGGGGGACAGCAGCTTTACCCACTGTGCCCTCCACCATCCCCCACCCCCACTTATTTATTTATTTATTTATTTATTTATTTTTGAGTATGTAGTGCTGGCTGGTCTAGACCTCACTGTGTAGACCAAGCTGGCTTTGAACATTCAGTGATCTTCCTGCCTCTACTCTATTCTATAGAGTTACAACTGTGTGTCATCTTGCCTGCCTGGAGTGTATTCTTTTGTTTTAGTAAGCTACAGTTAAATGTGTATATGGGAGGTTTCTTTTTGTTGTTGGTTGGTTTTGTGTTTTTGAGATAGGTTCAAAGAGGATGACCTTGAGTCTCTAACCCTCCTGCCTCCACCTCCTGAGTGCTAGGATTCCAGGGATGTGCCAGTAGTTCAGTTGTGTGCAGTGCTAGGGACTGGAGCCAAGGTTTTGTGTATGCTAGGCAAGCACGCTACCAACCCAACTATATCTCCAGGCTAAGTTACAGGATTTTCTGTTTGCTTTTTTTTTTGAGACAGGGTTTTTCTGTGTCGCCCTGACTGTCCTGGAACTGACTCTGTAAACCAAGCTGGCCTCTGCCTCCTGAGTGCGGAGATTAAAGGCGTGTACCACCACCACCCATCTAAGTTACAGCTTTTAAGGAGGAAACACAGAATAAAAAAAAAGGCAAAAGGTACCCCAAAGGAGACATCGTAGTCCTCCAGGGTATAGGGCTTGTCTGCAAGGTCTTCAAAGAACTCTGCCAGGGCGTCCAGCGTCTCCTCTGCAAGTCTTTCATAAGCTGTCTCATCTAGAGAGCTGCAGGAGAAAAGAAACCCACCAGAGCATGGTCATCAGTGGCGCATGGTCACCAATGCACAATCACAATAAATACAAACTAAAAAGAAAATACGCCTCCCAGAGGAAGTAACCAGCTAGCAACACGGAGTGTGGGTGAGACCCAAAACCCTAGGGTTCATGACAGCCCTGCTCTGCCAGTTACTCTGCTTCTCTGCGTGTCTTGGCTGGTTAGTACCAAGATCATGTATCAACTTTTATTTCTGTCTTGTCTTGCAGTCCTGATAGGCTTCAAACGAAGGGCAACACCTGGGCTGACCTCAGCCTCATCAGTGTTGACATCATGGTTGAGAGCCACCACACCTAGCTTTTCTCACTCATTTACTTTTCATTTATATTTTTATTATTTATTTTTTAACTGAGAATTGAGTGTATTTTTTTAATGACTCATTTGTTTTTATTTTACATGCCTGGTGTTTTGCCTGCATGTACATCTGTGTGAGGGTGTCAGATCCCCCAGAACTGGAGTTACAGACATTTGTGAGCTGTCATGTGGGTGCTGGGAATTGAAACTAGGTCCTCTGGAAACTAGCTGCTTGGTTGGAATCTCCAGCTTCTCCTGCAGGATCTGAGAAGCCCTATCTCTCTCTCTCTCTCTCTCCAACCCCCCACCCCCAGAGAATTTCCAACAACAACAACAACAACAACAACAACAGGCACCAAAAAGCCCAGTTCTGATTTTTGGCTCCTCCCCTGAAGTTGCCAGCAGCCCAAGTCCTCATCTAAAGTTTTCAGTTTTTGACCACACTTGGGCACAAACCCAGCTTGTGGCAGACACGTCATCATCCCTCACCTACAGGCTACACAACCTCCCTGCTTTAGTTCTGCCTTGATCTTTGGGACCAGAGAACTCACCCAGGAGGTGCTTAGCACAAATAAACCTGTTCTTTCACTTTTTCAACTTGGCTTGATCTGTCTTACGGTGTTGGGGGAGAAACCTATTACTGAGATACAGAAAACCTATTAGCAGTCAGTGCTCTTAACTGCTAAACCATCTCTCTAGCCCCTCATTTATATGTTTAAATTGATGGGAAATATCTAGCATGCACAGAGCAAAAACTTCAAGTTGCATGAAACAAGTTACGAGAGAAGTAGCCTCTTTTTTAAACAACTACCATCCCTAGAGGTGGCTGCATCTGATAAGTTTTTTTCTGTGTTCTGCTAGACTATCTTAAATTTTAAATATATAAAAATGAAGTACCTTGTCTGTTTTTCTTTGAGACAAGGTCTTCCTAGGTAGTTGGCCTTGAATTTCTGATCCTCCTGCCTCGGCTTTTCAAACAGCTACGATTACAGGTGTGTCCTACTGTGTCTAGTTCATTAGATTTTCTTTATTTCACATATTTACTTCTGCTGGACACTGAGGCTTACTAAATTTTTGTTGGGCAAGATATAATGTGGTAAAAAAATGTTTGTATTGCACGTATCTGAAAATGGACTAATCCAGAATACAAATAAATAAAAAGAATACCCAACAGAAAAATGGGTAAAACACTTACACACATTTCATAAAATATATCCAAATGGCCAGTCAGCATGTAAAAAGATACTGAGCTTTGTTAATGGTTTTAAAATGAAGATTAAAAAAAATGAGATATGGGGGGTTGGAGAGATGGCTCAGCGGTTAAGATGAGAGATGGCTGCTCTTCCAGAGGTCCTGAGTTCAATTTCCAGTACCCACATGATGGCTCACGACCATCTATAATGAGATTTGGTGTCCTCTCCTGGCCTGCAGGTATACATGAGGAGGAACGAGGTATACATAATAAATAAATCTTTAAAAAAAATAAGATATGAGTGGTGGTACACAACTTTAGTCCCAGCACTCAGGAGACAGAGGCAGGTGGATCTCTGTGAGTTCCAGGACAGTCAGGGCTACACAGAGAAACCCGGTCTCAAAAAACAACAAAACAAACAAACACATAAAAGAGATATGTCATGAAAGACACAGAATGAGGGGCAAGCTGGGCTTTCTGAACACCTGTAATCTCAGCGCTCCTGAAGCTGAGGCAGGAGGAGTGTGAGTGCAAGGCTAGCCTGGGTTATATAGAGATTCAGTCTAAAACAAACAAATAAAGGACCCCAACTCCGTGCATGTTGCTATGACTCCACAGGTTTAGTTATTAGTAGTTTCTGGGAGCAGAGGGAGGGAGGGATGGACCATGACTAATGAAGGGCACAGTCTGGAGTAGTGAACATTTCCTGGAATTAGATAGTGGTGACAGCTGTAGAAGCCGATGAATACTAACACCTCCGATGACTTTTATGCTATCTGAATTATGACCATAAACTATTGCTGCACTGGGAAGTGGTTCAGAGCTGGATATGAATGTACCATGTATAACGGCCGGTGTCTAATCCCCAACAACAAAAAGAAAGAATGTACTGCTCTACCAGTCTTCCTTCTGCGGCCTTTTGTGCCCCAGTAATATGAGACATTCACTGGGCAGCTCCATTATCCAAGAGGTTCCCAGGGACCCATAGTGGCTGCTGGGTGGTAACTGCATCTGATCCACCCTTTACCCGGCCCACCCCATTGCCAGGGTATGTGTGTGTGAGGTGATGCAAGGGGAGCCTGACTCAGTTGTACAAAGCAAACTAAGGACATTATGAATATTACTGTTGGACATGACCTCAGGGGATCTGCCCTTCGTGCACAGACCTGGGCATAGAGGTATGTAAAAAATAAGGCAGCTTTCAAGTAGGAAGACATTTGGATAAAGGGGTGGCATACTGGGCTGGAAGTAAGTAGTCAAGAGCTCCTAGATGTGTCAAGGAAAATCTACTACCAATCAGTTCATTGGACCCTTGAAACAGCTTTTGGAGGCACAGAGTATTGTCATTAGTCAGTGGGCTCTAATGGCTGTTTGCCCTCAAGGAGAGCATGCTTCCCACTGCCTGTCTTCCTTACATCTGAAAGGATGGTGGGCAAGGTGGGCTCACCCAAGGCTGGGGTCAGGGATTCCTGGTTTGCCAAGGTAGAGCTTGTCCCAGGTTGCCCAGGAGCTATCCACTGCTGCCAAGGGCTGCAATGAAGCTATTGTCTCAGTGGGAGGAATTATTTTGGTTATTTTGCCTTTTGCCATTGTTATAGGGTGTGTGTGTGTGTGTGTGTGTGTGTGTGTATTAGAGAGAGGCAGAGAGAAAGGGGGAGAGAGAGAGACACACACAGAGGGAGAGAGAAAGGTACAGATAGACAGACACAGGGAGCATTCCTACAGCTTAGAGATAGTACTGAACATCACTCAGAAATCTTGGACTTCAGAGTGTATACAGAGACGCCCATGTGTGTTTGGTTGGTCCCTGGGGCTGGGGATACCTCTGCATGTGAAAGGAGGGTCCAGTAGATAATCAAGTAGTAAAAGGGTTGCCCGAGGCAGTGCTGACTCTACAGGGAATACAATGCTATTTTCCCAAAGACACTGTAGATTCATTTCCAGCTTCCTTAAGCAACTGAGCTTGGTCCACTGAAACCAGAGCGAGGAACAAGTGCCATTTTTAGCCTTTCGATACTTCCAGTTCTTCCTACCAAATGGAACCTGGGTAGGCTGGCCTAACCTAGACAACAAACTATGAGATAAGGGCTAGCTGGAGGCAGGAGTCAGGCTCCCCAACTCATGTCATGGTGGAAATCTAGCCTTCAACAGCCTGGAGAAGCACTGTGTCTGTGGTCTATTTGCTATAGCTGTATGACCTTTGTGGTGGTTTGAATAGGAATGGCCATCATAGACTCATGTGTTTGAATGCTTAGCCCATAGGGAGCGGCACTATTTGGGGGTATGGCCTTGTTGGAGTAAGTGTGTCACTGTGGAAGCAGCTTTGAGGTGTCATATGCTCAAGCTGCGCCCAATGTGACACACAGTCTCCTTCCTGCCTGCAGATTATGATGTAAACCTACCAGCTCCTTCTCCAGCACCATGTCTGCCTGCATGCGGCCATGCTTCTCAACATGATAATGGACTGAACCTCTGAACTGTAGGCCACCCACCCAATTAAATGTTTTTCAGTGTAAGAGTTGCCATGGTCATGGTGTCTTTTCCCAGCAATAGAAACCCTAACTAAGACAGCCTTCCTCAACTAGGATGCTGGAGGAAATAATAAAATTCTGGAAAAAAAAAAAAAAGAAACCCAAAATATCTAACAATAGGGAGGAATTAAAGGAAGTCTGGGGTATCGACACAGTAATACTAGTCACTAAAAGTAACATGGCAGATGCTTAGCGACCTGGAACGATGTCAACAAGGGTTGTTCCCAAGGAGAAGATAGTTTCTACATGGGAAGAGATGCCTGAGTCAGGAGGTGTTTTCTTCTCACCTTGGGTAGTCCAAAGTTCCCGAGTTCCTCAAATGTACCATGCAGACACTCTGCTTTTTGATGTTCAGAATCTGATCGAGGTAGTGGAGATTCAAACTCTAAAAGCCAAAGTAAAGAGCATTAATGACCACACCTGAGTCTAGTCTAATCCAGCAACACATGATTCACAGACCAGCACTTCTAGATTCACAAGCGGCCACATGACATCATCTCAGGGACAATTCTTAGGATTTGATGCCCCCATCCCATCACCCCCTAATGTTTTCCTATGGGCCTTCCCAGTCTCTTTGCTAAGCCTGTGCTATCTGATAGGACAGTCATGAGACACAGGGGGCTCTCTGTTTCTTGTCGAGCATTAATGACCACACCTGAGTCTAGTCTAATCCAGCAACACATGATTTACAGACCAGCACTTCTAGATTCACAAGCGGCCACATGACAACATCTCAGGGACAATTCTTAGGATTTGATGCCCCCACCCCATCACCCCCTAATGTTTTCCTATGGGCCTTCCCAGTCTCTTTGCTAAGCCTGTGCTATCTGATAGGACAGTCATGAGTAAGATAAAATAGAATTTGGTCCTTGGCTATGCTGACTGCATCTCAAGTGGCCATGGCTGTGTAGCAACAGACAGACCATCTCCCCCATGGTAGTACTGCTGCAAGTGTTTAGGAGATTTGGCGGCTCACCAGAGACAGGGAAGCAACCAGTACCCCTAGAATTTGACTTAAAAAAAGCATCAAAAAATGCCAAGAGGCAGAATTCTGCTAAAGTCCAAACAAGAGCTGACTGACTGCCTGTGCCTGATGGATTCTACCAGCAAGGTGTGACCTGTGGATTTTTCTTAGTCCCTAACTACAGGGCACTGGGCAATGACATGTGTGTTGATTATGACCAGATGAGATTGAGTGGAGAGCCAGAGAAAAGTGGTGTAGTCTTAGCCCAGATGGCAGGTGTGTATGGAGATGGGGTTGGGTGGAGAGAGACGATGGGGGGAGGGTGAGGGGACCCCAG